GCGAAAAGTGAGAGATGCGAATTTGGGAACTGAAAAAGATGATCAACTGCTTCGCAATGGAACGAAGCTTTTCTCCTATGAATGAAGGAAAACGGTTCCGAAAACGCGAATTGATAATTTATAGGGGAGGCGTGTTGCTTTTGTTCGCGTTGACCCATTATTGACTTTCGACAATTTCATTTGTTTCATATTCTTGTTCTTTTTTAATATTTTGAAAATTCTCTGCCTTCTTGGAGTGCACATAAAGTTTTCAATGGAAAAAAACTCACTTCTTAAACTTGGTTTAACGATAAATGAAAGTACCTTGCAAAGAAGAGTGTTTTAAATGTAATTAAAGTTTAGATCATAAACAAGAACACGGATAATGTATTCTATATCAACCTATTTTTTTCTATCATTATTTTTATTTTTCTAAAATATTTTTATAAATTTATTTTTTATTTTTTATTTTGTTCTTTAATATTTTGTTTATCTTTATGTTCTTTATTATTTTTATTTTACAATAATAACACTAGTGCAAAAATAATGTATAATGTCACACGTTTAGAACCACTAAATAGTCAACGTTAAAAATGACCGGTGTCATTTTTGTAAATAAATGTAATTATTAAACGTTATTTATAATTGTAATTCGACGTAAAAAGATATAAAACGTCGAATGTACTAGCGTTAGACATTAAAAGATTAGTGAACTCAATAAAAGATTAGTTAAATTAACGTCCTATATTCATAAAATTCAACGTCAATTTAACTTCTCGTGATATGACGTCGTTCGCGAATTCGCCGTTAAAAGCCCAAAATATTCAACGTTGTATGTGATTTTTGTACTAGTGTAATAAAAGATTCCAAAACAAACCTCAGTTTAATTCTTATATGAAAGGGAAACACACTAGGGAGCTTAGAGAAATCCTGTGGTAGTTCAAATTTCATCCTCTTGTTCTCCATCCTCTTTTTTTTTCATGTTATTTTTATATTCCATGGAGTATTAAACCTTTGAGGTTGATTCTACTGTAATTTCTTAATTAGATTTTGAGGTTAGATGAATAAATTTATTTGTTGTTTTGATTCTTGTTATGATTTATTTTTATCTATATTTTTTGCTTCTTAATCAAGTAAAAGAAATTATTTTTAAGTTATAATAATTTAGCATAATGTCAAATCTGCATAACATATCAATCATAGGAGTCCAAGAGTTTTTAATTTTAGTTGAAAATTTACTTTGATTAAAGTTAGAAACTTTCGTGTGATTCAATGAGTTTTTTTTTTCAATAATTGATAATGTACTTTGATTAGAGGTAAAAACTTTAATAAGAATTAATCAAGAATGTATCTTGGTTAATTAACCTTTTACTTGATATAAGAGGTAAAAGAATAAATATGATTAGACATAGTAATATTTAATTGAGAATGTAATTGAATTAATCAAGAATGTACTTTGACTTTGGTTAATTAGGTAAAACATGATTAGACATAGTCATATTTAATTGAGAATTTATTGGTTAAATTTACCATAATTAATCTAGAAAGTTCTTGCTTTTAATTGAGAATGTACTTTGGTTGAGGGTGGGAATGTCAACAAATTAATTTAGAATTTACTTTCATTAATTTGAAAGTATAAGATAATAATTAATTGAACAATAATCTTTAAATATAAGTAATGATGAATCCTATTTTGAAAAAGCAATGAAATCAACATATATTTTCTTTATTATTATTTTTATTTTTTTAAATCTTTTTATAAACTTATTTATTTCTATCTTTTTTTATTTTATTCTTTAATCTTTTATTTATTTTTATGTTCTTTATTATTGTGGATTTATTTATCTTTTTATAAACTTATTTAAATCTTTATTTTTTTTTAAATCATTGTTGATGTCTTGTATCGACTAAAAATAAAGTCCACTTCTTTGAGCCATTAAAATTTATCTCTAAAGTTAAGGTTAAAACATTTAATGGTTTTGTTGGCTCAAGTAACCTAGGAGGGTGCTGAAGTTTTCCTGATGGCCAAAGAGGTGCAAATAACGCGTGATGACTTTTCTACTTCACCAAAACGAGTTGCTAGGTCTTGTAACCTCAATATCAGTGTCAATTCTAGGTTACATGATTCATAACATCCTCAAAATAACAATCACAAGTCATTTTAGTATATCAAATCATATGGATACTGAATTCTTAATTTTATCCATTATGAATCATTTAGTTCACTCATGTCGCTTTCAGGAGAAAATGTCAACACAAACATAAATGGCACAATGTACAAGTATACTACTGATTTCATCCTTTTAAGTATTGTTTTCTCTCTTACTTGGCTAAAACAATAACAAAACTTAAGTAATCACTTTTTAAGCATAAGCAATTATCTCATGAAATATTTTAGATGTTAAAACAACTTTCAATCAATTCCTAAACGAAGGATTTTTGTTCTCGCTACATGCACAAAAATTGATGGGATTAGTGGAAATATGACGGCAAAATATCTCATTGTTCTTAGGTGATTTTATTACAGTTTTTTACTTTTCTTTAAATCAATTTTTAGAAGAAAATAATCCTCTTATGCAATATTTTTACATATATTTAACTTTGTTAATAAATATATATATATTTTATTTATTCATCTTGTTTTTGAAAATATATAATAAAAATATTATGCTTAATCAACTTAAATATTAAAAAAAAATCTGAGTCAAACATATTTAATTCCATTATTTTAATAGTACTTATCACATGTAATAAATATAGTTGAGAGTAATTTAGTAACTTTTTTATTTTTGGGAATTAAAATTATTAAATAAACTTTATCTTCAATCACTATACACTAAATAGTTTTTCTTATATCTATTTTCTGAGTAATGGTTTCTATTATGTGTCGCAATTTTTTGTTTAAATTATAGTGATAGATGACATGAAAGAGAAGAGGAAAATGCAATATATTTTTCAATAAACTTCTGATCAATTTTTTATTTTATTTCTCACTTTGGTTTTAGTAATTATGCTTCTGTATTTTTTTCCGGCCTTTCTCGTAATCAACTCTTTGTTTCAACATTAGAAACAAATGTCCTCACATAAATGAAACCTATATAATATTAAACTACATTAGTCATAATAAAAGTGATTGTTATTTTAATATTTATAAGTTTTATAACTAATTTTAATTAACAATTATTGTATTTATTTAATAAATACTTATAAGGGAAAATGTTGAATTTTTTTTAAGTTTATTATACTTGTACATTACTGTTAGATAAAAGAAAACACCTAGAATAGTAACACATATTAAATAAAACATTGTTGGAACACTCAACTATATAAAATTATACATCTAAATATATTATTACGTGATACATGTTCTAAGTGCAGACCACACAAAGCATCATCTCTATCTATATTTAAATAAAATATAATTTGAGTCAAGTTAAATTCAAGACTATAAATGATAATATTTTTCATTACATCCATTTTTTTCTAAGTATCCTTTAATAATTATTACTTCTTAGAAACAAAAAAATGTAATAAATTTTTTGACTCTATATGTGATTAAAAAATACGTTACAATTAATTCTATATAGAATTTTGTAAAAGGACTTTTACATTGCACAATCTAAGTTGATTCCAATGTTATATTACTGAATATTACCATTGTATCTATGGATTGTACTTTACATTGTGCAACTCTGTTTGTTTTGGAGAGTATAATCGATAACAATAAAAAATTTAAAATTATATTCTAGATTTCCTATTAATGATAAGAAATAATGTATTAAATATAATTTAAATTTGAAAATACAAGTAATAACATAAATTCTAAACTCTTGTTTTAGTTCGTATGATCCATATAGCCTTTTATATGGACATAGTATATTATAAGGAATATATTTGGATAAACTTTATCAGAAAGAAAAAATGTAAAATAATATTTATAATAAATTAATTATAATAACTATTTTATATAATTTCTCTAAATTCTTATTTTAATTTTATCTACGTTAATTTTAATTTATAAAATTTTAGTTTCTTATTTACTTATCTTTTCCATTTGAAATTTATTCTTTGTTTATTGGTCAATCCGGTAAGAATACAATTTTCCCCCCTTTAATTTGTTTTAGACATGATAAATAATTTAAAAAAAAGGAACTTCAAAATAAGATTTTGAGTCCAATCACGTATTAATATCATTCTCTACTCAAAACTCACAATTTATTCTATTTATTGATCTTTCTTGTAAGAATACAAATTTTTTCACCTTTAATTTGTTTTAGACACGATAAATAATTTTAAAAGAAGAACTCCTAAACAAGGTTATGAGTCCAATCATATAAAAATTAATATTACTCCTACTCAAAACCCACAATGGGTTAATAGATGTTTTACCTTTATACACTAATCTACTTTTTTATTTTTATCTAACGTAAAACTTGAATTTACACTTGAATTTCTAACAAACTAGACATTAACACTTATCTCTACGACAAGCTACACAAGTAACACTTTCACCACAAGTGAGTGAAGTGACTCACTCTTTCCCACTTAAAAACAAACAAAGCTCTACGATGAAATAATGCAAAAGGATGATACAGAGAACCTGACAAAAAGTGTCCCTAATTCTGTCTGTCTAATGAACAACATCTTGGATTCTGCCCCAGAATCTTAGTTGGATTTCTCCTGCTTTGCTAGCCTGGCCTTTACTCATAAAATACAAGTGCCAGGGTGGTTTCACCTTGCCATAGAAACATATAATAATGCATATCATCAACCTTTTTCCATAAGGTAATGATGGACATTTCCCACAAAAGTTAGTTTTTTCCATGACCATTGTGTCAACTTGGCCATACCATGATTCTTCTCTTTCCATCAGTTACTTTCATTTGTCCATATCTATGTAGGGACAAAAGTTGTTCTTGTGTATGCATGCTTCATTTCCAGTTTCTACATCATTTCCAACATAGCATAGATGTTATAGCTACGATTAGCAAGGCCTCAATACATCATCAGTAAATGCTCTCTTAAATTATAAACAATATAAATCTATAATACTCTAATGTATTGTCTCACCAATTATCTGTTTGGAATAACTAATTGAGTTCTTACACAGGAGTTTCTCCAATGTTCATGATTCTGAGTTCCACATTCCTATGATCACGAAGATGCTGCAAAATTTCTTGGATAAGATCTAAATCCTTATCCCCTTTCCTCAAGAATATGATACAGTGCTTTAAAAATCCTTTATCTGCCTCCAGAGCTTGGAAGCTTGGAATCTCTCCTGAACATGATCCACCTTCATTCTACTTTGAAGTTTTTCTTCTATAAGTGGATCTTTTCATCTGAACTATTATGCAAGGAAGTAAAATCTAAACCATTGCTCATGACCCCTTTTTTTCTGCTTCTGTGCCTGTTTCATCATAGAGTGGGAGAACCCTTTTGGCTTTTGTTCCATCACGGTGCTTACCATTTGCTAATCCATTTATCTGACCTATTTAACCATTATTGTCTTGTTGTTATGCGTTTGCATTCTCTTCACAAATATGTTCTGATTTAATACCATCAAAATACTCTTCTTCATAATTCAAGATAACTAGCTTTTTTTGCAGCATATTCAGGTGTTCTAGAATCAATAACCTCTCTTCCTCCAAGTTTTCCAATGATTCCTCCAAATATATAACGCCATCTTCGTAAGTGCTCTGGCTTCTGAACTCTTCTTGATGGCTATAAACAACATTTTCTTGGCTTGTGTATCGACTCTTATCAATAGGTAGTTCATGTTGATCACTATCTCTAGCATTGCTACAAGGAGGAGAAGTTATGCTTCTTATGTTACTTTCTCTTGTTGGTACTATCATAGTTTCTCTAACCTCATATTCATGAACCTTTTTTCGATATATTTCAAGCTCCTTTTCTAGCTCAACTTTCTCTTTCTCCCTCTTTATCAGAAGTTCATTCAAAAGCTGCAAAGCTTCCTGGTCATACTCACATCGTTCTTCCATCATTCTCTCATACTGCAAAGCTTCCATCCGCATTGCTGCTTTCTCTTCCTGAAGCCTATTTATCATTGCCATTGTTTGATTTGCCGCAACAGCAGATGCACTTCTCTCTTCTTCTAGTTCATCATATAGACTATTTAAGGCCTTCCTTTCAGCTTTCAGTGCAGATTTCAACTTCTCAATTGTCAACTCACCACATTCTGTATCACATATGGAACTTACTTCCAATGATACTTCTGTTTCCGATTCTTTTCTTTCAAGAAGTATTAGCATCTTGTGTGGCTTATGTAGATTCTCTGCAGACAGAAGTGGGTGTATCAGGAACTGTTCCTTCTTTCATCTCATTAAGCTCTAAAGATTATGAAAATGGTTATTTACAGTTGGCCATATTCATAACAAGTGACATTGTGTTAAATTCTACAAATTCTTTATTATTCTTGAGGAAACCTCATTATATATTTTCAAATGAAAATGAAGGAAAATGGTAGAGCTTATAGATGAAACAATTGTTTGTTATGGACTTGTGGGAAAGAAGAAAAACAGACAAGGCTTACCACTATCATCTTGGACAGTAAAAGTAGTTGTGCTACAAGATGAGATTTCTTGCACTTCTTCATTGAATTTCAGAATAAAATCTTGATTTTGAGTTGAGACTTCTTCTCCTAATTCATCATCGCGCATTAGTGTTGCATCTTCAAACACTGAAAGAAGAGAAAAATATTGGAACATTGTAAGCTCAACCAAGAAAATGGAACAAAAATAAGACAAGAGATTGATGAATAAGAGATTGAAACCTTTTGGTACAACTGAAGATAACTCCTCATCTCTTCCTTTCATATTTGCATCAACATTACCATTCATTCTTGAGTCTTCAATCGTTGGAGCTAATTTCACTTCTTGACAGTTTTGCTCCAAATTTTCTTCTTCTACTATTGATTCTAATTTCTTAGCTCTAATCCTCCTTGGGGTTAACTCAATCCCATTGGTCTTGAATGCCTTTCTGCACTCTAGACTTGAAGACACTGACACAGTATGCAATGGAGTGTAACAATTCTCAATAACAGGTTCAGATTCTGCACTAGAATTTAAATCAAAATCCAAAATAACATCTTCTTGCACAAAACAAATACTCATATCATCTTCCTCCTTTCCTCCTCTACCTGAGCCCTCCGCAGCATAAAAAACAATGTCGCTTCCCCTTTTCTCTACAGTGTTCTGTTCCTCTTCAAGTGGTTCAAGCACCACAAAATCATCTATGCCATAATCTGAGTTATGATGGCCCTCATCAACCTCTGCCTCAACCTCACTTTCAGTAATCAAATTCTCTTTCTGGGTAGAATCCAAAACCCTCGAAGAGGGCTTATCTCTGATCAGGTAAAACTTGCTAACAAAGTTGTCACCACAACAAGAACACCTCAAAGGCTCCATCCCATTTTCAAGTACCTTGTTATTACCATCAGCACCATGAGTCATACCCTTTTGCTGCATCCATGGAAAGTGGCCAAAACTCTGAGGCAAGTTCACAAACTCTGGCTGACACGAAGATGAACAATTCTCACACATATTTTGTGCTTCAGCTAGTTTTCTGTGGTTCAAGCAGAAACCCAGCTTGGAAATCTCAAAAGCATGAGCTTCACACACAAGATCCCAGCAAGAACACTGGTTATTTTCAGGCTCTATGATGTGATCAATCCTTGTGCACCATATGCAGGGCCTTTTAAGACCAAAGTAATCCACAAACTTCATTATCAGATAAGAAAAGAGGGAATTTAGAAGAAGGAGGATGATGAGAATCCATTCAAGGATGGCATAGACAAGAACCACTGTGATTTTGTTGGTATTTCTATGCAACATGGTTGCAAACTTGTTGGTAGCCATGTACAAAGAAAAATTTTACTCAGAAGAAAACAATTATCAATTTGTAATCTACGAATGGAGACAGACAAACAGATGATTTTAGAGAAAAATGTTATGAGAGAGAATTTTAAGACTGATTGACAAAATTCAATTGTGAATATTGTAGAATATCTGAGAGAATATAACATAAATAGAGAGTAACAATGGTTTTATTTAGAATGAGACAGTAAATGAGTATGAGTTTTCAACTTTTTGAAATCTTTTATAGAGGTTTAGTGATATGAGATAATTGTATCTTATCTTATTGCGAGTCATAATAATTTTATTTGTTTTGAGTTTTTGATTTTTATATATATTGTCACATCTTATTTAATGTTTATTTGACATAAAAATAAAATTAATTTCTCATTTGGGAAATATATATTTAATGTAAAATAGGTAGATGAAGATCAAAATAAGTACCACTTTAATAAATTTATTTTATCAAAATAATTTTTTTTTTTAATTTTAAAAGGATCACACCCTTAATTAAGTTATTTTTGTTAGATTGAGTATTTATCTTGTTTAAGGGTTTATTTGATGTGCTATTAACTCTAAATGTGGATGTATTTTGTAGAAAGTACAAAACATCTGTTATATGTACAAACCATGACTTCTGATAATACTTTTTTTGCCATATTCTACGTACAAATCAAGAACTAACAAAGCACCAATCAAGCTTTTTCTAAAAAAGAGGGTTGTTGGAAAACAATCTTGAAGTACATGAAGTAAAGGTCTATGCAATGTGAACGGTTCCGTGTGAAAAATGAAAAGGTTGAAGTTGAAGGTAGGGGAAGAAAAATGAATGATATATTAGGTATTAGAAGAGGGTGTGCATCAGTGATATTTTTGCTGCAGAACGATCACAACCCCAAGATGTTCCTCCTCAATTTCCTAATACTGCTAAAAAAGATATGTAAAAATCATGTGTCAACCTTCTAGATGTAATGAGGCACATTATGTATACAATCTCTATTCAAGATATGTATGTGAACATTGAAAACGTATGCATGTACGAATTTGAATGGAGATTTAACCAGAAAAAAATAAAATCCAACCATTGTCTTATTATAAAATGATTGACATTGTGACCTTATTATCTCAAACATTTCATCCTACAAATCATATCTATCTAACAAAATCCAGCTTTACATTGAATCTCCGAAATAATGTGTTCTTATATCATGCCAGAGCTTCCAAATGGATTGCTATTATGAACGTGAGAAACAGGATGCACAGGAAATGCCCCATATCCTGCATCCTCGAAAGGATTTGCTCGGCTCATCAGCATATGCTGCTGCAGAGGCTGATATGGTTGGTAATGATCGAAAGGATCTATATGCTGTTGAGAAATTGTTGCAATTTGTACGTTGGGTGGGAGAGGGATGCTAGTTGACAAAACAAAAGGATCTTGAATTTCAAATGGATTTGGAGCTGGCACTCCAAAAGCAGATTGTTGTGGATATCTATATCCTCCTTCATCATATGAACTGTTGAGGGTGAGAGAATTCAGCCTACCAACCTGATAATCAGTGAAAAAAAAAACTGATAAACACAGCTGCTAATCGTTTTTACTAAACAATCTAGCATGTGAATAACCGAAAAAAGAACTCTTAAATCAGAAACACTAATCTGGTGTCCTAAAAAGAGGAATCGCCTGCAACTCACTAAACAAACTAATCAATGTGACGTTGAGTAGTACAAAGACTGGGCGACCTTGAGAAAAGAGAAAACAATGTGTAACATGATAAAAATGGTGTTATGCAATAAAAGATGAAGAGCAGATTTAAACAAACTTCATCCTAGAATTATGTAAAACGTACTCCTCTTGCGAGTAATTTATATTTATGTCTTCTGAAACAGCACTACAAATCCTATATATCACAAAGATAAGCAAGCTGCAGACATACACTATACTTCCGCGATACATCACATTTGACTACAAATAATAATTTCCTGAACGTGTCATCCAATGATCCAAACTGCTGAATCATGAAACACCATTAGTTGATCAATCATGATGAATGCTTGTTTTTTTTTAATTTTATTTTAATATTCAACAGTATAAAATTAAAAAAGATTAAAATAGTAGTTTAAAAACCATATGATGCATTACTCTTGCAAGCCAATAATAGAATACGAAGTAACTTTTAACTATATCAAATATCCTGCCTGTGGTCTAAAATAGGTCCAGTTCAAAATCCAACATCCAACTGAATTTAGTGAATGGTATCAATTGCATTATTTTGACTTTATACTATGGCAATGAATTCTAATGCTCATGTTTAGTATCTGATTATTTCTGAGAATAATTTGAAGAAAAGAAAAAGCTTAGGAAGATAGTAAATTTAAGGGGAAATAAACACAGTAAAAAGGTAAGAACGACCTACCAATTGTGTCTCATTGTTTGAAGAAATAGTTGTACTTGGAGGGGAGACCAGAGCAAGCTCCCATCCGGTTGGATCAAAATCTCTGGCAGGATCAGCTCGTGAATCTAAAGCGGTAATTCATATGTATGCACAAAACAGTCGTACATATTATCTACCAAACCTCACTAAATTGTAGGATTTTGAAAGCTTATAAACAAAGCTCACCAATTTCGGCAGGGACTATGACTAGGGCATGAGCGTTTCTTTCTTCCATCAAGGATGTTTCAGATGTACTGTCATTCAACCCCTGCAACCACGATAAAGAATGAAGAAAGTTGAAGAAAAACATAATCTGAAATAACTGAACCTTCGATTAATGTTTCACCAGCAAGTCTCCAATTTCAAAATAGTTGTGAGACGGTGGAGGAGGAGCAGGCTCAGAATTGGAGACAACATCATCAACAGGCACTGAGGGCTCCTGTTCTTGAGATAATTTATCGTATTCTATTGTGGGAACATCATCTGGTCTGTAAGTCAGTAACTGTTGATAAAGAAGAGTATTAGTGAGCTAGAATCTAATCTAAAAGCTCAATCTAACGGAAAATAATGCATTGATGTCTGAAATCTATTAATAAAAAATGCCAATGATAAAGAAACCCTGACAACTATTCCTTTATAAACAATGAATTATGTACTCACTAATGGCTCACTTGAAACTGCAAGCAGTCGAGGTGCATCCTTTATGTAGTCTTCCATGGTAACAAGAAATGATACTGGAGGCTGAAAACATCAAAATGTAAGCAGTGAGAAAAATTAAAATGAAAGAGAACTCGTTACACTAAATTGGTGCAATAACATATATATACCTCTCTTAAAACAGGAAACTGAAAACTCCTAGCAATTTCCAATCTTTTGCATATTTCATAGAAATCAGAGAGACTTTCTGCCTGTAATCACCAGGCATCTCAATACAAGCATCATGGAAAAATATATTACAAAAGCAGAGTGGCATACAAATAACCTGCTGGCCAGCACGTTTATAGACATCAAAGGCTTTGATAGCTTCATGCCTTGGCATCTCAAAAAACTACAAGGAAACAAAAAATTATCTCTTGCCATTGTTGCACAGATCTTATTTAATCAATAGCGTAGGTTGATGTATGTCCGTTTACCTTATCAACAAGATTGATAATGCCGTCGTTAATAGCACAGTAAATTTTAAAGCTCTCTTTTAGAACCTAAAATGATCATAAGTAGCACATAAATAGCAAAACTAACCGATTCCAAAGCCATCTAATAAATGAATCTTTAAAAGTATTTAACTTCAATATAACCGAACAAATGTTTCAAATGAAAGATATAAACACAAGAGTGTGATCAGTGAAATTAAGAGAATCTACAACTACAAATGAGCCATCATTACAAACAAATTGTCACTATAACAGTTGTGCCTTTACTGAAAGGATGTATTAGATGAAGATTATTGAAAGTCAGTCCACATTACCAGGGAACATGGAGAAGGATTTTACCAGTACCACCATTTTTCAAGGAAGCAGTAAATAGTTTAGATGTGTCTGTTTTTCCTGATAATTCTTGAATTTCATTGCCCAACAATTTTTAGTTTTCCATTGTTGTCATCCACATAAACAAAAACCAAAGGAAAGTGTTCCATAACTTCGAAGATCAAGTGATCAACCAAATTATGCATCAGTCAACTACACAATAATTAGAGCTGTCAAAACGGGTAACCCGGCCCGACCCGACCCGACCCACCACGGGTTGATCACTTAGTGAGACAACCCAACCCGGCTCATTTATTAGCGAGCCGAAAAAATTTGAACCCGACCCGACCCACCACGGATTGGTGGGTTAAACGGGTTGGCTCATTGACTCACTTAATTAACTTTTTTTTCACCCTCTTCTACTCAGATTCTTATAACATGTTACTTTGATCGATCAAATTGAAAAAGTAATGATTGGACCAATTGATATAAAAGAAAATAAAACAAAAGAAATATATTGTTATATATATTCTAAGCTATCAAGCATAAAATTTTGTCAATTTAGTTTAATGAGACATACACAACCGTTTGACCAAAAAACTACATATTGTCAATAATATATCATAATTTCCCCCAAGCTATGGCGATATAAGAGTACTGATAGAAATCTATTATAAATGTCACACCTAGAAAATTGTTCTTAGAAACACACTAATTTTATTTCTAGTTGATTTGAAAGTTCTAAATGAATATCTTGACACAATACATACCAGGGCCAGGGCATATTGTATCACATAGCTGCTAACAGCTGCTCCTTCTGGCTGAAAAGTCACAGCAAAATTGGTTAGCCATTATTTAAAAATGAATACAATACCGATAGAACAATTTTGGAAGAAAGAGAGGGAGTTATAGAAAAAGGACAATGAATCTCCACAGGGTTCAGAATATTACACGGCAACCAACAAGGCAATAGAGAAGCTGCTGCAAAGCAGGCAACTGCTCCAATAGCTCCTCACTATTCAAATCCCTTGTCCTGCTATACCCCTGCTTGGAGCATGGCAAGAAAACTTCACAAAAATAGTTCACAAAAATGAAAGCACACATTTCAGAAATTATGAAAACTATTCAAATTGAATTTTGACCACCACAAGGTTAGTAGCCCCCTCGCTATAAACAAGGCGTTAT